TATTATATTATTTTATTATTAATTTATATAAAATAAAAATAAAAATTAACCACTCACCAGCGGTATCCTTGGTTAGAAATTGACCGCAGCTGAAATAGTTGGTTGCAATTTTCACCTTCCTGTGGTTAAGTTCAGATTCCTGTAGAGAAAAAATGGAACGCAGAAAGTAGAAATAGGGAGACTTGTGAGCTCTGATTCACCCACTGCAGTAGCCCTTTCTACGGAGCTCTGGCACTGCATGTGACCATTAAGAGTTTAATAAAAATCAATATTTATTAGTTATTATTTATTTTTAATTATTTATTATGTTAAGTTTGTTGTTATGTTGCCCTTTCATATTCACATCTTGAAACTTTTGCTTTCTTTACGTTGTGTTATTTAAGCAATTAAATTAGTTGCTCGGGAGAATTTTAATTGTCTATTCATAAATGATTTATAATAATGAAAAAGTTAAGATAAAAGCATAAAATAGTTGTGTTATTAATAATGAATTTTTTATGTTATAATTAAAAGTGTAATAATATTATCATTTTTAATACTATGATTTGTAACTGTTAATATGATAATTTTGAATAAAATTTTTATATTTTATGTTGTTATTTATTATTTATTTTTTTATGATTTTTTATTAATTAATAGAGATTTTAATGTACATGTAAATGACATAACTTTTCTTTTCTTTTAATTCTTTTCATTATTTTTCCGTTATGTATATATTAGGGTGAGTTTAATTTTTAATAATTCTGTGCTTAGAGTTTTCCGTTATCTATAATAATTATATCAACAGTAAGCAAGAGTGTCGCCACACAACCCGTGTCGGGTTTTTGGGCCTTTTTGCTATTTCTTCAAAGATAAAATTGCAAGGCTGGTCCTAGGACTTCTACATGGTGAACATCAAATCCTATATCTTTGAATTTATTCATTTAGGTCCCTAATTGGAACTTTTGTTTAACAATATAGTCCCAAACTCTGTAAGGATTTATAATTTAGTCCCATGACTTCTATTATTATGCGTTACAATATTTTTTTATGCGTTTCCAAGGATACACATCTTTCACCTCTGGATGCACCTCTTGTTTACTTCCCCTTTCAAACCCAAATAAATGCATAGATGCAAAACGTGATCAAGGTGACTGAAAAAGAGGACAAAAATTCGACATGGGTATAGTGTCGACACATAATTTTGGTGTCGACACCATATGATAAGCATCCAAAACTCTGACACGGACGTAAAGTTGACACATAATTCAGGGGTCGACACCATATGAAAAAGCTATTCCACAAATAATTTGCTAAAACAATAGAAAAATCTACATAATAATTTATTTTCATTTGTGATAGGTGACAACAATAATAAAAATAAAAGAGAAAAATCTAGTCTTATAAATAAAGTTGGAAGAGTTATCAATAATAATTAAATTAATAATAAATTACTTAGGAACATTTTATTTATATTATATCATGGATAGTCAATTCTACATAATATGAAAATTATTAGATATTGTTTAGAAGCACATTCATCTTCTTCTTGCTATAGTAAGATATTTTCATTCTTTGTAACATTTTTCTAAGTCCTTCAACAATACTTGAAACATGATCTTTATATTCTGCTTCTTTTTCTTTCTCCACTTCCCGCAAGCAAGACTGTCTTTGAAGAGCTTCTTCGAAAGCTTGCATTTTGGTGTAATTAACATCTTCAATTGCAAAATCATGAGATTTCTCTAGCTCTAAGATAGCATGTTTTGCAGCAGATTGTTCCGCTTCTTCTATAGTTGCAAAAGGATAGCCATTGTAAATTAATTTCATAGCAATATAATCCTCTTCTTGGATTAGTTGAACGCTGGAGGCATAATTCCCATCATCACTTAGATTTGTTTGATATTGTGGCTGGCCTAGATTCAATCGAATAGATATCCTCTCCAATAGTTCTTTGACATTAATTCTTTCCACAAACCTAGGGTTTTCCATGCTACAAAATTGTTGTCAAAAAAAAATGTTGAATTGTAATATATAAATAATGTAATTAAAAAAAATGAAATAAGTATCAAATGTAATATGGGTTGACTCAAATTCCTTCATCAAAAGTTTGCATGCAGAATGAGGAAGGGGTGAGCTTAAATAGAAATCATGCAAGTATATCTCTTTAATTAGATTATTATTATAGGATAGGTTAGGAATAGTAATTCTTTATTTTTAATCATCATCATTACTATGGTATTAAATTTTATTTGTATAGTTTATTTAAATTCATTGGAAAAAAACATATCTTTTTAAATAAAGAATGAAAATAACATTATAGCTTATAATGATATAATAATTGTAATCATTATGATATTATAATTGCATATGTAGTTATTATATTTTTTAAAAAATAATTTTTCAGTTACATTATTATTATATGATAGGTTAGGAATATTGACTCTTTATTTTTAATTATCATCATTGCTATGTTATTAAATTGTATTTGTATAATCTATTTAAATTCATTAGCCAAAAAAAGGTATCTTTTTAAATAAAGAATGAAAATAACATTATAGCTCATAATGATATAATAATTGTAATCATTATGATATTATAATTGCGTATGTAGTTATATTTTTAAATAGTTTTTCAATAAATTCTAAGACTTTTTTATTATTTTTTGTCTTGGGTAAGCATTTCATATATACCTTTTGACCTGCTTAAAAAAATGTTGTTACCTGCTTAAAAAGACGTTGTTACATCTTCTTGAACAGTTATTTCTTCATAATTCATGGCAGCAGGATAAGCAATAAATTATGATTGTTATGATAAGCAATAAATTTGTATTTACCTTTTGACCTGCTCAAAGAGATGTTGTTACATCTTCTTAAACAGTTATTTTTTCAGAATTCATGACTGTAGGCTAAGCAATAAATTATGATTGTTATGATAAAAAATAAATTTATTAATAAAAAATAACTAAAAATAATTTCCCAATATCACAACTAAACCATATTTACGAAAGACGAAAAATTTGATCCTTTTAAATGTTTTCATGATTGACATTTGGTCATCCTCCGGTTTTCTTACTATTCTTCATGTTCAAATCTTTATATTCTCAATCATTTTATAATTATTATATATGGTGTATTAAACTAAAAAAAAAATGAATAAGTACCTAAAATTTATAAAAAGTAAAACCATAAGATTATAATGTATTGCATAATAATTATTTCTATGGTTATAATCTTTTTTAGCCTTTTTCCTTTCTTCTTCTTTATAATTATAACAATAAATAATA